TCTGTTCTCTCATTTAATGGTCTTTTAAGATTAGAGTAGGCACCAAGATGTAAAAGAAAACAACTTTGGGGGCGCCTGGCTGACTCAGTCAGTAGAGCATGAAACTCCTGATCTTAGAGTTGTGAGTTCAAACTCCACGTTGGGTACAGAGATTACTTAAATAAACTCAAAAACAAAACAAAACAAAACAAAACAAAACAAAAAAACCCACCAAAACCAGAAAACAACTTTGGGGAGATAGGCAAAACTTAACCAGCAGCAAAAGGGAATAGCTTTGTGCCTATTCTCTCTCACCCATGATTCTCCAAAACTTGGCTCTTTTAACCTTATCTAATTATTAGACAGTGTTCTAAATTTGTCCATTTACTGTTCCCTGAAGAAGCCCTGTGTCTTTCTCTCTTTATTCATATTACCTAGCCCATGCCCTACCCTTTCCCATACATTCACCATCCACCTATTCATGACTCCACCCAAAAAGCTCCTCCACTTCATCTTTAACCATAAAGCCATGTTCCCTCTGTGAAATCTTTTTTATTGCTTTCCTAGTCAGAAATCATCCTCTTCTAAATATTTTTAATACTCTGTGCTATTTTAATGATTTTTATAATGTATAGTATCTTTTCCTATAATTATTTTGTATTCATCTACCCTCCTGTATTAGTGAGCTCCCTGAGGGCAGGGGCTAGGTCTCATACATGCCGCAGCACCCGATTTAGTGATTTGCACAAAGGAGATTAACAAATATTTGCTGAATACTGACTGATTAAAAGACCTGAGAGTCAAAAATCTTAGCTGAAACCTTTTCTACTAACCAAAAACTTGGTGGCAAAATTCAATACTTAGAAAAGATTTCGTAAAGAATATGTAGCTCATACATTTCTCTAGTAACTATAAAATCTGTCCTTTAAGCTGGACCACCAAAAAATACATTATTTGGGTCCTGCAGAGATGCTCTTAGTAAACTGTGCTTTGGCCTTATGCTTTCAAATTATATAAAGCTGTAAGAAGCTGTTATATAGGACTTGCTTTTGCTATTATAGCTGTAGCTATAGTATTCACCATATTGCAGTTCCCCCCTTCCCCCCTTTTTTTCTTTTTTGGAAGAGAGAGACAGGGTACAAGCAAGTGAGTGGCAGAGGGGGCGAGAGGGACAGAAAGAGAGAGGGAGAGAAAAGCAGAGCTTATCCGAAGTGGGGCTTGTGTTTACCCGAAGTGGGGCTCGTGCTCACCTGATGCAGGACTTGAGCTCACCCAATGCAGGGCTCGAGCTCACCCAAAGTGGGGCTTGAGCTCACCCAAAGTGAGGTTGGAGCTCACCTGAAGCAGGACTGGAGCTCACCCGATGTGGGACTTGAACCATGAATGGTGAGATCATGACCTGAGCTGGTCAGATGCTTAATGACTGAACCACCCAGGCGCCCCTCTTCTTTTTTTTTAAAACATTTTTTAAAGTTTATTTATTTTTGAGGTGGGGGGAGGGGCAGGGAGAGATGGGGAGAGAATCCGAAGCAGGCTCTGTGCTATCAGCACACAGCCAAATGTGGGGCTCAATCCCACGAACCGTGAGACCATGACCTAAGCCAAAATCAAGAGTTGGATGCTTAACTGACAGAGCCACCCAGGTGTCCCTGCACAGTTTCCTCTTGAAGGAAATCATAAGAAGCATTGCTCTAAGGTCTTAGTACTTGAAAAATCTGGGCATCTTTTGATAAACTGGTCTTTATCTGATGTAATAGATTAAGTGAAACTTGTAAACAATCATTTTAGCCCAAGAAAAGCACCGAACAAATTTTGTGGTTCATCCTGAGCAGGTGGGTATGCTGGATTGTCTGTTGTCAAAATGTTAATCTTACTTATGGCTTTATTTTCCTTTGTCTTGATTATTGTATCTTTTCTTTCTTCCTTAATCCATTTGAATTGCACATATTTATGTAAAATACTTGAAACTCATTTTGGAAGGAACACGTAAAATATATAAATTGGTAAAATATGGGAGGTTTTTTTTGTCCTTTGAGAATAGCTTTAGAGCCTTTCTCCTTATCATGGTCAAAGACCAGATAAGAATGTCTTCCTAGATTTTGCTGATTTCACTACAACAGTTACCACACAGCAAAATGAGACCAACTACTAAGGAATTTCACTGTAACCAAGGTGATTTGACTATTTAATACTTCATCTTTCCAAAAGATTTTGAAATACTAGAGATAATTAAAATAATAAAACCATTCTTGTTTCTCAATACAATTATACAGGTTAGGATTTCTGGTTAGAAGGAGAGGCAGTATTACTGTAAAAAGTCAGGTGACTGGGCTTCTAGTCCAGATTATGTGTCCAACCAGTTTGGTGACCATAGGGAAACTGTATAATCTTCCTGGGTCTCAGTTTCTTTAGAGGTTGCACAATAAAACCACCTTTCCCAAGGAGTTGTTTGCTGTACATGAGTGTGCTGAAATATGTTAATTGGTGCTCCATGAAAAAAAAGGGTCAAATAAATTTGGATAAGACTTAAGTAAATTAAGATACACAGAAGATAAAGAGTTCCTTAATGGTGGGGTTTATAAGAGCCTTTAACTGTGACTCTCTGGGGGAGGGTGGGTAAAGTATGGAGTATTACCTGAACTTGTGTTTTTTGGGAGTACACTCATGGATAAGTGCAATAATGACTAGTTGCAAAATAGAGTGTTCCACCCTCTCACATACTTGTAGCCAGAACATAGATACTGAAGTATGTAAAGGATGTTTATGGGGTCTTCTGTGAGAGGACAGGCTTTATCTACATTGGGAGAGAGAACAATTTTAGCGTGGGGTAAATAAGATAAATCATCAGAAGAAAGTACATGTACTACTAAGCTCTAGATCCAGAACATGTGGTTAATTGTGTACACCTGACCTTTAGCAAGTATATGGTTTTAAGATATACTATTGTGAGAGTGTGTGCACTGTGAAAGAGCATCAAAAATGAGAGTCCTAAATTTTCAAACTATGTTTCTTGAAATAGCCTAAAAGCATAGTGACAAATCTGTTTCTTAACTTCTGTGAAACATTGCAAACATGATTCCTATAGACACATGCAATGATGTATGACTTTGTATTGGAATGAAGTAAGTGAAACATCATGAGCTTTGGAGTCATAAAGACTTGGTGAGAATCTCAGCTATATTCCAATTTCTTTTTTTTTTAATGCACGAACAGGAGAGGGGCAGAGAGAGAGGGAGAGAGAGAATCCCAAGCAGGCTTTGCTCTGTCAGCACAGAGCCTGGTGCAGGGCTTGAACTTCTGAACCGTGAGATCATGACCTAAGCTGAAATCAAGAGTCAGACGTTTAACTGACTGAGCCACCCAGGCATTGCAGCTTTTCCATTTCTTTGTGTGACTTCTCAAAGAGCTTTAGTTTTCTCATTTGTAAAGAAAAGTCTCTAAGCTTGTAGCTTATTTTAATGGTCAATGAGTAAGCATATGTAAGGCCGCTAGAAAAGTATTTGATACACGGAAGATGCTCAATAAATCTACCTTCCATTATTGAGAGTTTTCAGTGTACAGAGACTAGGGTTTGGCAGACATCGTATTTTGCATGTCTGTGATAGGCACTCAATAATGTGTTTGAGGGGCGCCTGGGTGGCGCAGTCGGTTAAGCGTCCGACTTCAGCCAGGTCACGATCTCGCGGTCCGTGAGTTCGAGCCCCGCGTCAGGCTCTGGGCTGATGGCTCGGAGCCTGGAGCCTGTTTCCGATGCTGTGTCTCCCTCTCTCTCTGCCCCTCCCCCGTTCATGCTCTGTTTCTCTCTGACCCAAAAATAAATAAAAAAACGTTGAAAAAAAAATTATTAAAAAAAAAAAATAATGTGTTTGAATATGAATAAACTTTGATTTCCAAACAGTGAAAGATTACACATCTTTTAAGACATGGCTTGAATATCACTTCTTCTATAGTGTAGTCTGATTCTCAAAGCTGTGAAAGATTTTACTTTGCTAATGAACTCTCTAAGTATACTTCTATGTTATTTAGCATGGTTTTCCCTTGATTTGCTGTTCCTTGTAGACATGTCGTATCTTCCCTACCAGATGAAATTTCTTGTAGAAACTGGTTTATCATCTTTTGTTTCTCTTTCAGTGCTTAGCATAATTCTTGTTCAAAAAACATTTATTGAATAAGTATGAAGTGACATCCTCTGACCAGGAACGATGACTAATGGAGTTTTCCTTAGCCCAAGTTAGAGCCTTCCAGGCCTTTCCATCACTTGTTAGATGACTTCTTTTTATAAGTAAATCTTGCTGTTAATCCCATGTCTAGAAAAAGTTTCAAAAGTCCTTCTTTGTGAACCCATCCTAGGAAATCATTTGATATCCCTTCCTTCTCTTTGTTCCCACTGCACTGTAGGCACATCTCTATTATAGCTTTTACACATAGTTTTGTAATTCTATTTTTACAAGACTATGAGCTCCTGGTGGGGATGACCCATGTCTCTATCTCTAGTCCTGATCAGATTTTGGGCATGTACTAAGTATTCAAAAAATATTTGCAAGATGAGTAAGTGAAAAATTCTCTATATTGTTATGAATATGACAGGAACTTGGTAAGAGGGGAATAAGCCATGCTAAATGGATTTCCCATATTTAGGGGCCCAATGAAGATATCACAGAAGTAACTCACAGTGTCTTTTGGTGGGGAAAGTGAAGACTGGGAAGGGGGCCGAAAATACAGTTTTGTATTCTTGGGGTGAGACGATATCCAGGAAGGATGGGAGCATTTGTCATGTAAAAAAAGGAAAAGGAATTTCTTGAAAAGAACAGAAAAGCATGAAACTAGTATAAGGTCAAGTTTTCTAAGAGTTCCATACAATAGAGCAGGAATGATTCTTTCAAGGAAAGGTTAGGTCTTCCATACTGAAATGGGTCTGGGGAAAGTGGAAAGACATTATACGAAATATTAATATCTTCAATATCAAATGCAGTGAAAATAAACCTAGCTTTTGAATAACTTTACTTGAAATTATCCCCTACCTCACGTTCCTCTTCTTGTTCTTTGCGAATCTGCTCCAAACGAAACTGTTCTGCCATCTCTCTCTCATGAGCTTCCCTCTGTCAATAAAAGAGAAAGGGAGCCAGCACTCAATAAACACTGGTTTACTTAAAAAGGCGGGGGATGGAGGGGGAAGAGAGCTCACGCCCAGCACCGTCATAATAGAAATGTTTCTCTCTGGAACAAGAGTGGAAATGGAAGGAACAATAAAGTATAGCTCTCTGATCATGTTGAGTACCCATATAAACACCTGTTCAGCTCTGGGAGTGTGGCATTCAGGATTCTTCAGAAGACCTTTCTCTGGTCTTCTTTTCTGGTCTTTTCTGCTATCTCTCCTATACCCAAATATCAGGCTCTATCTGCATTAGCTTCTATCACGCACCCATGCTTTCTGGCTCCTTGCTGCTAGCATATACCACCTCTTGCCTCCTACCCTTTTTCTCTATTCAGTTCACATTTTTAACCCCTTCCATGAAACTCTCCCTAAGCAGATTTCCACTTATTAGCTCTCTAAAAAAAGCTAGAAAAAAACTTTCCACTGAAACTCTTGTTCCCTAATCTCTCACAGAACTCAGTGCTTCCCTTATGACTTTTATGATCCTTGCCTAAGTATTATAGCTAACTATGTTCTTGAGTTAATCTATTCTACACCACATTGTGAGTCTTTTGAGGGTAGAAATTGTGGCTTATTTTCTTTTCCCTCCTTCAATACTCAGTACAGAAGCAGGTACTCAAGAAGTATTAAATAAATCAGTGGTTTAAACATTGCTGAGTTTTTACTACAGACTGGTTAAAAAACAAGTAAAATAAATATTAGGCCTATTTTGTTTTCATTTTTCATGAGTGTTAAAAAACTTTGTGTTGTCAAAATGAATCATGCTTCAAAAGCCACGGGTAGAATTATATTCTGTTAACTGAATCTAGCTTTCTCCATTGCAAATCTAACATTCTTATGGATTAAGATGATAAAAGGGGTGGCACTTAAATAAATAATAAAAGACTATTTAGGATTGAATTCTTTGTCTCAGAAGCCCCTTGACCAAACCTACCTTGGCTCTGTCAGCCTCAAGTGAAAGGCGATAGGCCTCATCTTGCTCTCTTTTCACATTTTCTCTGGCTTCACGTTCATCCTTAAAAGAAAGGAAAAGATTCAAATGTCTTTTACCATATTACTTTTTTTTATAGAAGAAAACAATGATGATCATCTTGTCTTAGTCCTGTGTAAATTTATTAGAATTAAATAAGGCGCTTTAAAGTGTATAGGATAGAAATAAGCAAACAAGAAGAATAGCACAGTAGATGGTGAAATAAGAATGTTTAGGCCTAGCTCTACCACTTATAAACTGTGTGACCTTGAGCAAGTTATTTAACCTCTCTGGATCTCAGTTTCTTCAATTATAAAATAGAAATAGCATTTGTTTCATAGGGTTGTTGCGAGACTCAAATATAATAACATATAAAAGGTCTTGCAAAGCACTTGACATTTCTTTTTTTTAATTTTTTTTTTTCAACGTTTATTTATTTTTGGGACAGAGAGAGACAGAGCATGAACGGGGGAGGGGCAGAGAGAGAGGGAGACACAGAATTGGAAACAGGCTCCAGGCTCTGAGCCATCAGCCCAGAGCCTGATGCGGGGCTCGAACTCACGGACCGCGAGATCGTGACCTGGCTGAAGTCGGACGCTTAACCGACTGCGCCACCCAGGCGCCCCAAAAGCACTTGACATTTCATTTTCACAATGATTAGTTCCCTTCCCCTTTTCTCCTGATTTTTTAAAGATAAACTTGGCGTTGTCACCACTGAGGCTAAGGACTGGGAGAGAGTAAAGGACTGGAAAGTAATCCTCTGGTCAGCATGAGGAGAAGCTGAAAGCAAAATACCCTGGTTAACTACAGTCCACACTACACCACTAAAGCTTGGTTATCGAACTCAGTGCTTCCAACAACATTCACACTCATCAAGTGTGGATGACTTAAGCAGTTATCCAAGTTGAAGACCCTTTAAAACATTTTTAGCTTCTGAAGTGATTGTGCATCTGCCTACATTTAAATTACTTCATATGAAATTAAAAGTTAATTCAACTACCAGAATTTCTACATGTACTTAAATTTAATAAATACCCACACCTGCTGACATTAGAATATAGGTTCCCTTTTTGGCCATTTTGTGTCATAGCTGAATGAATCATATAAAGTCACCAATATCTGAATGTTTTTGACCTCTAAAAATGGAAATCTCATATGGCTGAACTTAATACTTTCTAATGTTTTGTCTTCCCAATTCAATATATATTTAGGTGCTCTCACTGATACCCATTTAAGACTGGCCTTCTCTCTGAAGCCTCAATCTCCTTTTAGTTTCAATGATTCAGCTAATTCCAAAATCTCTGATATAAATAGTAACATTTCACTGATTCCCAATCTTTTAAATAAAAAATTTGAAATAATTATAAGTTGCTGGCTAAAGCTAATTGCTATACTATCTATGATGAAAGGGTATGCTAGGTGATTTATATCAGGAACCATATTTAACCTGAGAGATCACTCAGGCTGTGAAGCATTCAGGGATAATTTACATGTCATATAATATTACACATGAATAAAAATGGGTTTTAAACACTTCCACTTGGAGACTTGTACTAAGCAATTAGTATTCATATTTTAGAGAAATAGCATACATCTTTAAATATATTTTCACTAATTCCAGCTGGGTATTTCCCACTTTGGTATATATACTAGGTTTTACTACGACCAGATACAATCAGCCTGATAATTATATTTTGCGCATTTCTGTTTATATTAGCATTTCCCTAATTCATTACTCTGTGAACTCCTCCTCCACTCCATATCCAAGTTTGTACACAGTGGCCACTTAATAGTTCATTTAGCCAAGGCTGATCTGTATTTGATACATAATGTCTTTATTTTATAAGTCACTGAGGAGAGGTAATGGGAAGATTAGCAGATCTGTATTCAAATCCAATCCTGGCCAGTAGCAAGCTATGCGTTTTTGCTTCTGTCTCCCTTTCCCGTTATTTATTATATTAAAAGATTGAATTTCTAAGGCTTTTATGCCTCTGTGGACAAGTCTACCTTTCAGAAATCCCCAATATACTTAATATAACCTACGGGAGTAACTTATTTTTCTATATTTCAAATGGGGAAATACTTTAAGATGTTTAAATTTTTAATTTTACATTACTTTCTTGATCCCACTCCTCTAGTTTAGGTTTCTCTTGTAACATTCTGTACTGTCCCTTTAAAACCTTTATCACAATGACAATTAATTATCATATAATCATTTCCTTAATGTGAGATTCCCCCCATGGCACTGTAAGCATCATAAAGGCAGGGTCCTTATCTATATTACACACCTCTATATTCCAAGGGTTTCACACATTGTGTAGTTTTTGGGAGGTGTTTAATAAGCATCTGTTGAATAAATAAACTATCTTTCCAGGCACAAAATATTTATTGTCTGCAGTAAAAATTAAGGAGGAAGAGAATAGCTTAACAAAAATGCAACCCTACCTGACTCAATGAAATCAACTGGCTGGGCAGAAATGACCTATTATGACACTATGTACAGACAACAAAGGGACCTTCTAAAAGCTACCACAGCTGGAAGCCCTTTGAGCACAAATATAGTTGGTAATAGAAGCATTCTAAGTAAACAGCTCTGTTTTAAAACAGACTGTTGCAGATATGAAAGGCCATTAAATATAGGGATCTCTGCCACAAAATGTGGCACCTGTTACGAGAGGACTTCCTGCACCAGCTAACTTGCTTCCTTCTCTTCCCTGTACCCTCCTTTTCATATTAGGCATCACATCAGCACTGAGGATGCAGACGCAGGCCATAGTTTAATAGGGGAAGACACAGATAATCTTGCTTGCTTGGATCACCTTCATCATTTTTTTGTGAAGAGTTCGGTGTTCAAGTTTTGCATTATTTTACTTTTATTCCTTAAATAATGTCACTCTCTTTCTATCTGGAATAGTTCTGCTCCATTAGCTCTATCATTAAAAATCCTACCAGCTTTTTATAGAAATATAAGAGGGCGCCTGGGTGGCTCAGTTGGTTAAGTGTCTGACTTCAGCTCAGATCATGATCTTCCGGTTTGTGAGTTTGAGCCCCGCATCAGGCTTTGTGCTGACAGCTCAGAGCCTGCAACCTGCTTTGGATCCTGTGTTTCCCTTTCTCTCTGTGCCCCCTCCCCTGCTTGTGCTCTGTCTCTCTCTGTTTCTTTAAAATGAATAAACATTTAAAAAATTACAAAAAAAAAAAAAAGCAATATAAGAGAACAACATGTACAAAAGAGCCACTATATAGAGGGAGAAACTAAAATCACATGAGGATAGAGGATTCATACAAGACTACCCATTAAGTCAGTGGCAGAACTTAGACTTGAATCCAGGTCTCCTGACAGCTTCTTCTCTCCTGTCTGCTACAAACCAATGCTCTTTTCCTTGCTCATAGCCCTCCTGGACTATCAGACAGAAAGGCCAGATCAGGCATGTGGCTCAGCATGAATTTTTCTAAACTTATCATGGTCAGAACTTCTTACTTGTTTGGTAGTTGCTTGTGAATAGCTATCATTTCTTCTTTTCTGTCTTATGGATCTTATACTTGCTTCTCTAACTGCCCTGTTCACTATCATCTCTAATTTGGAGGTTTAAAGAACACTGCTTAGGCATCTCCCCCATATTATTCTATATGATTAGATTTTTTAAAGGAAAATTCCAGGTGTGATTAACATTTCATGCACTAATTTGTTCTCATATCTACACATGCGCCTCCTGGAATTTCTCCTCTACCCTACAAATATAGTCCTTGCAGAGACTCCCTGTGCTAAATCTGAGTGGGCACATTGCACAAAGTGACGAGAAATACATGTATATTGTGTGGAAGTAGAACAGCTGGTTCAGGAACTGGTTTCAGGTGCTGCTTGGGCTAGAGCTTGGGCTACTGGGTATTAAAGTACTCTTTATCACACCAAAATGTGAAGTGGGATCGCTCAGAACTAAGTGATAGCCTCCACTGAAGCCTTTCATCTACAGCATACTTGTCAGCGCTCTCATACTGCTTTGTGCTACACTCATTTGTATGTTTCTTTACTGTTTCCTACCTCAGCTGTTAAGCTCCCAGAGGGAAAAGACTCCATTTGATATGTCTTTGTATTTCCTATGGCATCTAGCGTACTATCTTACATATGGCAAGCATTAAATACACATTTGTTAGATGAATGAATGGAATTACCAGTGCTCAAACAGTTATACACCTCAAGTTCTGGAGTCTCTAAGTATTCTTCAAACTAGTAATTTTTATTTACATGTATTTTTTTTATTCTGAGTAATAGGGTGACTTGTTAAGAAGTACAAGAGTTAGAATTTAAACCTATGTTTAAAAGATTTAAAAACCTTTCTCACCCCAAAGCCTTTGTTTTTTTTTTTTTCCAACTGTGTCAGACTAGGTGGCTTGGTATAGTTCTCTGAGACAGTAGCCATTGAGTCAGACTTCCCTATAAACCATTAAAAATAATGAAAACATTCTGAGCTGTCAAATGGTTCCTAAATGAGCTACTTAACCTGAAATGGAATTTAGATGTAACTTGTTACTCCTCTGGAGTGTTTAAAATTGGTAATCATCAGTTAATACCCAAAGGCTAATGCAAAGTTCTGAATTATCAAATTGAAGTAGGCTATAGTGGTTAGGCTTGTTTCAAATACTTACCAAATACATACACAAATATGTACATACATATATGGTATTTATCTCTTCTTCTGAATGCCCAGGTCAGAACATATACCTTGCTCTTTGCTCTGTTGAGTAAAACCTTGTACAGGGAGATGGCTTTGGTATGTATCCCTGAAGAGATATGGATCAAGATACCTTGAAATTCTCTCAATATAAATACTTAAAGACGATAGAGAAAATGTAACAAAATTTTTAAATAGTATTACTCAGCATGTGAGAAAGAAAGAAACAAAGAAAGAGAAATACCTGGGTACCAGAAATAAAAAACTGAAAAATTAGAGCCGTCAATGATGAGGTAGCATGGAACCTGACAAGTTAGATTATCCATTTTGGTAACCTAGAGTCCCAGAAGATTTTATTTTGGACCCAAGTGA